ATGTGCGCAGTATGTGTGCGCGAGTGACCTGAGCAATAATGGCCTCCTGTTGTCAAGTTAATGATATGTTAATTGCCTGTTGTGTGTATGAACTTTAATTGGTCACATTCTCTTCCCCCCAAAATGAGCTTTTTTTCACCTTAAAGGCATTCAGTTAGCTCGACAGCTCTTCACTTTACTTCACTGTGACTGATTACGTTTGGGGAATAAGTGAGGAAGTGCAGAGGGGAGGAGTGGAAGGGCTGATAAGAGAGTTGAAAGCGGTGGTGAGGAATGGGGTGGCAGGAATAGGCTGGACTCCTGCTGTCTCCTCTTTGGGGAGATCCAAAGTAGTGCTGTCCCTGCTTTAGTGTAAGGAGAGGCCCACTCAGGGGTCTTTGAAGTACTGCTCTGTTATTACATGGATGCACTCATTTGTGTTGTTAAAATACATACAATTAAGGCCCAATGTGTAAAGAAGCTTCAACCTTCAAACAAGTGATTGTTTCAGTGATTGTTGAAACTGCGATGTGCAGAGAGATTAAAAACATTAACGAGGTACAACGCAGCAGTTTTGTAATTCCATGAGCATGTTCCTTATTAAAAAGCATTTATCAACAGCATTTAACTTCATCTCCGGTTTTGGTTATATGGAAATAACCAGCTGTTTAAAGAGGAAACAGAATGCAACGTGAAGATATCATGCCATGTTGATGATAACACCTCTTCAGCTCTGACACTGCAGCTGCCATCTGTGTTAGTGTGTCAGTGTGTTCACGTGTGTTCACTTGTTTGACTGTATGTGTTTTCATCCAGCGAGACGGTTTGAGACAAAAAAAAAAAAAAGATATGACACTATCTCGGGGGCCACCCTGGTCAAATAAAGTTTGGATCCGCCCCTGTTAGACTTTAACATTTCAAAAGTTCACACACTTTCTGTCAGTGGTCTGAATCTAAGTCGTCTTAGGAGGAGTGTTGAGTGTTTTTTTATAACCAGCTATCTGCCGGGGCTTAAAATATCTCAATTGATCTACAACCCAAACTGAACATTCAAACCAACACAAAAATGCTAGATTATTTATTTCTTAAGATTGCATTAGACTGTACAGATGTATCTTTTAACGGAAAATAACAGCTTTGTCAAGTTATTGTAGATATACTGACAGGGTCCTTGAAATCCCTGATGGTTTTTAATAAGTCTGGAAGTATTCTATATTCAGAGCACCAGAAATATGTTTAATAATTAACCTATAGTTTCCTTTCTCGTTCTCTCTCTCTCTCTCTCTCTCTCTCTCTCTCTCTCTCTCTCTCTCGGCCATTTGCAAGGTCAGTGGGTGCGGAAGGTTGGGCTTTAGTTGCTTCTGTCTTCGTCACTTTCCCCTCAGATCTGCAGGCTGCGACAGAGAGCAGAGTCGCTATAAACACTGGACCTGTGCCAGCCGGGGAGCAGCAGCAGCAGCAGCAGCAGCAGCAGCATGCTTGTTTTTGCGCCCAGTTGGAAGTCCTGTTTCTAGGTTTTTTTTCTTACGTGAGGGCCGGTGTAGTGTGAAAGCGTGCGCAAGCCCACTGTATAAGGGGACGCACTTCTTCACTGAGGAGCCTGTTTATTCTCCAGCTGACGTGGGAGCGAGGGAGCGCAGGCTGAACTGTTGGTTTGGGCATCTCTCTCTACATATCTCTGTGCCGGAGAGGAGAGGGGTAAAAAAAAAAAAAAAGAAAGAAAGAAAAAGCGCTGACCGGCTGGGATTTTAAGACATCAATTTATTCTATCAGGATTCAAGACTCCCTTTTTGGCTCATTTGAGAGAAGATTCGAGCACTTAAGGCGATGACTGGTCTGAATCATGCACCGGCTCTCTGTAATTTCTCTTGCGAAGCCAGCCTCGCCACCAGCACCACCACCACCATCCGCCCTTAGAATAGAGCTGCTGTGAAACAACTCAGCGTCGTTACCGTTGTCTGACAGCTGGGATTTACACTTTACAATGTCTTGAGACGCGACAGGGAAGCTACAAAGATGATGACAGTGAGTATGGGCTCCTTTAAATGGCTCTGGTGTCCACCCAGGCTACTTTTAGCTCGTCTCCAGGGGTTGCTTGTGTTTGTGCCAGCCGGCGATTTGAATTCTGACCGATAATCGGTGCTGGAGTGGGGGGGTCAGTGTGGTCACAGCTGTAGTGGGTGTCATCCATCCTCTGATAGTGTGATATTGGGCGTTTCTGATAACGCTGTCGCCTGGGGTATATCAGGTTCCTCGTGGGACTTTTTGGGAACATTACATCATAAGAGTAGCCAATGAGGAACTGAAGAAAACGCACGCGTACTATCCAAATGTTTATAGCCTAAATAAAGCGTTTTCTTGAAATCTATTACTCCTAATCAAGACAAACTACTGTTTTTATGTAATCACTCAACTGTCACGCGTGCAGACATGCCACTTGGAGTGCGCTCGGTGCACGCAAAGACTGGGCGTATGCGCTGGTGTCCCCTCGCGAACCACTGAAATATAGAGACCGCCAGGCAGAGTTGTGAGGGGCTACTCTTTCTTTGACAATAAATTAAACGCCCCTCCCCTTAAAACACCCGCCCGGCTGTGGGGTGGGGATCGGTGCAGCTGTCAATTTGCATGTTTTTTTGTTTTTTTTTGTATGGTCTGACTGCTTGCGCTTCGGTTAATCCCACAGCGGATCAGCTTTAGCGCTCCAGCCTGCTTTCTTCCAGCGCCTTCTCTCTCTCTCTCTCTCTCTCTCTCTCTCTCTCGCTTTCATCCACAGGCACTTTAAATGACTACATTATTTTTTAATCGGACTCATGTGACCATCATGTATTGACGCGAGAATATCTGGCACACCAAAGGCGGCGCGAATCGGGATAACGCTTCGAGGAAAGGATCGGTGGCCGAGATTTGAAACGCGATCGCATGCGGTGCTGGATAGCCTGCTCCATCTGCTTCTACATAACGGTCTTCTTACTTTGGAGAGAGGGGAAACGCCACCCGCTTCATGAAACCGGGTTTTTAAATAGCACTACTTGCAGCAGGGTGACAAAGCCGAGATGACAGGCTGGTTCCACGCAGCGCCCGGTGCTGGTGACCGTGCAGTGATCCAGCGCGTTTAGATGAGCACGTCGGTAAGCTTCTTCTTCGCTGCACTGATCCATGTTGGCGAAATCTATCCTACGTTCATTTTGCATACCTAAATAGACTATTCCCTCTAAACAAACTCGCACAATCGTGACTGGGCTTACGCCGGGTTTAAACGGAGTGTTAGGCCACTAGTAGGCTGGTAATGTGTTGTGCCCCTTAAATCCCCCCCCCCACACTGTTAACCCAGAAGGGCTCCTCGTGGTTTTTATGTCACAAAATCTGTCGAAAATCATCCCTGTTATTGAATATGTGATTTTACATGTAATTATGACTGTCTAGACTGCAAGCAAAACCAGAGTCATACACTCATGGCAACGTGTCTAATCCAGGAGGTAAAATAATACTGACATTATCTCTCCCACTTAAGACCTTGGAGGTTTCCAGCACCCCAGTGGCATTGCATTATGTAACCAAAGCTTTTTTTTAATAGCATTGTTTTAACTATCTAGTAACTCTTAGTCATGATGTCAAGGCTTTGTGACCTCAATTTTGCAGCCAGCAGTGCCACCTCCATCCCCAGGTCACGCAGCTTTACTTCTCTTCTCTCTGACCCGTTCGTATTTCATAGAGAAATGCAGGTTATTCGGCATGAAGTGGCTTATGTCTCTACACAGAATCAGCAATCTGACTATCCAGTCTCCAAATTGCTGAGTCATTTTGCTTTGCCCAACATGGATATTTTCTGCAGAGTCCTTTGACGTCAGTTTCTGCACAGGTGTGGTCTGGCAGTCATACAGCTTATTATTTATTATGATTGGGATTAAACCCGATGTGTAGCATTTTCTCCCTCACAACAAAAGAGAAACTAATGCAAGTCCTCATGGCTTTAACCAGTAATCTGCAATCTTCATAATTAATTTCTTTTCCAGAGCAGCTCGTAATGTGGATCACGTAGGAATGTGTCGTTAATTTCTCTTTGCCCTGAGAGAAATTTTGCCGCTGCTTGCTTTTCATTAACTTTTAAAAGTGTTGTGAGGCGCTGTGATAATGCGCTCCTGTGGAGAAAAAGACTGATAACTCGGGGTGGGGAGAGAAGGCTCGGGTCAGGTGGAGATTTGTGGAGGGGTTGTAAACAACACGGACGTTTTCATTAGCTGTGAACTAATCAGTCAGGGGGTGATTTGGACTCTGTGGGAGCATCGCAGTCAAGGTTAAAACAACATCTCTGCACTCCTCCGTCCGTGTCACGGTTTGCTGTGTTTTTTTTCATTGACATGTCAGTGTCACTCACTCTCTCCCCTCATAACGCCATGATTTGTCCCTGTGGTGCCGTGCAGATGTAGCCGTGGGTGGTGGGATATTATTCTGACACATCCAGCCACACGGACTCCGCCTTTGCTGTTTGTGTCAAGTGTTGCACAAGCCCACACACATACATTTACCAGGACAGAGGAATCTGGAAAAACTGTTAGCATAGTAGTCTCGTAACACTAGGAGGATTTGGAGCAGCACAGAAGGCTTGAAAATACACATCCAAAAGTTCCTGTGGGACAGGAAGTTCTTTGTGGTTGCCGGTCTCAACCCACAGCACAAGAGTGACTAATCTAAGTCCACACACTTCCCTAAATTCACTCTTTTTATATTCCTTTTCTCCTTCGTACTTCCCTCTTCTTTTGTCTCTTTTTGGTTCAACCCAGTCTGTTGGGCAGATGGCTGTCCACCAATGAGTTTGGCTTGTCTCAAGGTCTCTGCCAGTGTGATGGTTGGTTGTTGGGTCTTTTTAAATAACATTACGAAGAGTGCCATTTAGAACTGCTCTAACGAGTCCTAATTGATTTATTGTGATGTTAATAAAATGGAAGAACTCTTTTAAACCTTTGGTTTTTTTTTTTTTTATTAGTTCCTCACTTTCACTATCTGTTTCTTTGTCGTTGCAGGATTACCGGGAGGATGGCATGGACCTGGGGAGTGATGTATCCAGTCGCTCCAGCTCAGAGTCCAACTCCAACAAGGTCACACCGTGCTCCCCATCTCTTGACCTGGCCACCTTGGAGGACTACAAATCCTCCCCCTCTCTGGACCTGGTCACCTTAGAGGACTATGAGGAGGACGAGGACTACCAAGAGTACAAGAAGAAGGTGATCGAGGAGTGGGAGAGCGAGTACGGGGAGGACTACACCTCTCCACAGCCTGCTGGTCAGGAGGAAGGCGGCGGGGGAAGCGGTGTGGGGGATGAAGGCCTAGGCGAAGGCTACAGGAAGACAGTGAACAGTCGGAGCCTGGCTGAAGAATTCCAGGATGTGAAGTCTGTCCCGCCCCTCCCGGCCCCCAGCAGACGCACTGCAACATCGGTCGCAGCCGTCCCAGATGAACTGAAACAGAACGGCAATCTGATTTTGCCCAGGAGCAACCAGCTTCACTCTCCCAGTGAACCAAAGGGGGGAACAGGGACTCCTAAACCTAGTCGCCGCAGTTCCAGTCAAGGCAGGGGGAGCCGCAGCACTGGAGGAGGTGGTGGAGGAGGTGGTGGAGGAGGAGGAGGAGGAGGAGGAGGAGGAGGAGGCAGTGGAGGAACTGGGGGGCGAATGGGGGGATATAAAGAGGAGGAGAGTGCAGAGGAGGAACCTCTGCCCACCATGGACTGGGCAGCCCTGGAGAGACACCTGGCCGGGCTTCAGTGCAGAGAGCAAGAGAACCAAAACCTCAACCACAACCAGAACCACAACATGGGCAAGACCCACTACACCTCGGTGAGTTTCTAGGGATTCTGCATTTAAGCTTTTCTGCTTATGTGCCAAAGATTTCCCACACATCATCATCTTAGTTTTTCTCATGCTTTGGTGGAATCTGTAATCCAGCAGTTATCCGTGTCAGATGGACCCTGAAAGCACGAGGCTCGGGTAGTAAGGAAAAGGGATTAGTCGGGTAGTGTAGCGCTAAGCTATGTGGCCCAGCTAATAACCATCACTGGTGGTGTGGGCTACATAAGTCGAGTGGTCCAGAGCATCTCTGTAAATCCAACACTGTGGGAAAAGCAGACTTGGTTACTCTTAGAAGGCAGAGTAGGATGTAGATATGACATATTTTAGTGTAATATTAATTGTTGGATGGTTTTTCATACGTAACTGCTACAGGAAAGATAAGTTCCTTGTCTTTCAGAGCTTTTCACCTCGTTTTAAAACATCTAGATGTCCTTTGTTGTTGCTATGTGCTGTTTCTACCAGAAGAGGTCAGTGTTGCATTGACTTTCTGCAGAGAGCCGCTGCGGGCCTTTCATTTCCACACCAGCAGCTCCACCAGGACTAAAGGCTTTTATGATTCACTTACCATCTCATGACATCACTCGGTTTGACTCACAATCCAAGCCAGAGTTTTATGGTTTCATGTTTGTGGGTCCAAAAGGGTGTAGCTTTAGAAACATTCAGGGAGGAGCAGGAGGAAATTATTTACAGCAGCCAGAGTTTCGGTTCAAGCGAGGGCAAATCTGTGTTAGAGTGGGGGGAAAAGAAGGGGGGATTGGTTGTGTCTTTTGGTATGCAAGTGCCAAGTCCTTTTTCCTTAGTGCACACTGACAATAGCTGCAGCCAGTGCCATTGTGAGTGTGTTGTGTGTGTTGTGTGTCTTTGTTTGTCTGTCCTGGAGGCCCCCTCTGTCTCCCTGAGGCATGTCAGGAATGCAGTGGGGGGGGATGAGAGGAAGGAAAGGAGGAAGGGAGGAAAGGACAGGAAGATGGTATCTCTAAGACCCGGCAGTTTGGGGTCACATGGCTCGTACGTATGTCTGTGTGTGTGTGTGTCAATGTTCATTACCTGCTGCCCCATCTTAAATGAGAAGGTCACCTCCTGGCTCGATTTTAGTCTGGGGAAAGTATGCTCTGTCTCTCTCTCCCCAGGCAGCGGGCGGTGATATAATTGACCTGGGTGGAAGAAAATCTTTTGAAAGAGAGCCTCTGTCTCCATATGCGGCCACTATCTTCTGCACATACACAACATACACATTGACACACAGGCCCTTCAGCATGTACTCATTCTCACTTGAAGAAGGTGCTAGGCCTGGCTTGGCGTTGTCAATATAAAGCTTAGTCCTGATGGAGATAAAGTGCTACAGCCTCTAACTGTATCTTCTATTATTCGACAACTCTCAGAAAGAAAAAAAAAAAACCTCAGATTTTGATGGCTCTGAGTAGATAAGACATCGGTTTTAGCCGCGTAATCCCACCTGAAGAGATATACCAGAAAAGACCCGTTAAACAAGGTCACATCCTGGACAATACCAATTTTAAAATCATGTAAGTGCTGCTGTAGGACTTCTGAAGTGTTTGACCTCTCGGATTTCTTGTACTCACTTCTTCGAGCCTGCTAATGTGTTAAAAGCAAACCTGCAAACAAAAGCAGGCAAGTGTCATTTTTGGAGCAGACAAAACTCATTGCGTGTGTCTTTCTGTGTCATGGAGCATCAGACTTTCCTTTAATTCTTAAAATTTCAGGACTTTGCAGACACACGGGTGGAAAAGTGTGTGTGTGTGTGTGTGTGTGTGTGTGTGTGTGTGTGTGTGTGTGTGTGTGTGTGTGTGTGTGTGTGTGTGTGTGTGTGTGTGTGTGTTTGGGCAGGGGGGCTTTTAAGATGTTGTTAAATATTTAGACATTCTCTCAGGCGGGACCCACCAGCGAGATGGTGCGTGTGTTCATGTATGGAGGGGTCTGTCTGTCTGGGATGTTGCTGGGGTCCACGGGGACGGAGATATTCATGCTTCAGTAGAGCTTCAAAAGCATCTGTGCTTTAAGAGAGACGGGGACACGGTGAAGCTCAGAGCTAATAATCAGTGCTGGTGGCTGTCAGCGCCTGAGACTTGTTTATCTGCTCTCCAGTCAGACGCAGTACACAACATTGTCACACATTTGCCTTGTGTATGAGAAAAGATTTGAGTCGTGTTGGGGTAAAATGAGCTCCGAACCAGACACAGACATCAGACAGGATTCACAGCCACTAGCGCTGTGACCTCGTACTGGTGCTCCTGTCCACATCTCTATGGCAACAGTCCCTCTTCCTTTTTGTTGCTCTGTCTGCTTGAGGACAAGGTTGAATCATAGTTCAAGAGAGTTTGAGGGTCACTGAAAAGATACATTTAAAGGAGCTTTTTTGACATTTTAACTTTACTTTATATATATATATGTGTATATATATACCCTGTATATATATGTATATATATATATATATATATATATATACACACATTCACAGTTTACACCACTTTTATATGAAAGTTATTTCAGAGCTATACCGTGCAACACAGCTGAAGCCATTTTGGTCCCCTCGAAAACATACAAAATGTTTTATAAAAAGCTCTACTCTAATGGTCTTAATGCACTCTGCGTAGCTAATTAACATTCAGAATGCATGTCTTTATTATCGTTAAAAATTACAACTCTACTCCAAAGTATTGTCTATTTTAAAGTCGCTTCAATTAAACATTAAACAGCTTTAGATAAAAGACATAATAATGTTTTTTATTATATATATATATATATATATATATATATATATATTATATATTTTATTATTTTATTGAGTGAGTAAGGCACTGATTACACAGTACAATCAGTGTTTCAACATAATTAATAATCATAGTTTCATAAAAAAAAAAAAAAAAAATCCAATTTCATTCACATTTATATAATCTCACAGGTAGTATTTAATCCCTCCCCCACACAAACATACTTATCCACCATACACAAGCACCAACAAATACACATAACACACAAAACACACACACACACACACACACACACACACACACACACACACACACACACACACACACACACACACACAGTGCATACAACAAGGCAGATTAAGGGGTTCCTCAGAGTTTATGAAAGCTGGGTGATTTTGCGGCTCCACTCAGTCTACACACCTTCATAAATCGTGCTCCATCTTCTGTCAAATTGATTTTTCTTTGTTGCTGTATTGCAAAAGGTTTCTTTCACCTAAACACACAGATGTATTAAGTTCCAGTTATAATGCAGTGTAGCGCCGGCTCTGTTCACCTCTCTTCTTCTGCTGCTGTTTCTCTTCTCTCCTCTCTGTCCATCACGTGTTCCTGTCTGTCTTCCTGCATGTCTGTCTATTTCTATTACATATAAGAAAAGAAGGACCATCTTATAAACTGAACTAACAATTATAAATGTACATCATCTTGTAAAAAAAAATGTCACTGAAGTTGCTCCAGATGCTAACTTTTTTTTCACCTTCTTTCTCTTTGTCAACCATCACAACAGATTGATTTTTGTTTGTAATTTTTACCTTGACCTGAGCACTGTGATTTTTCTCCTCTCTTTCTACTGTAACTTTAGTTCCGGTTGTTCTTTGTATGTGTGAGACACTGATAAATGAGCTGATAGATGGAAGGCTTAGCTGAGAACTTCTTCATCTGTCAAATGAATAGCAATTTATATCACAAGTTCAATACATCCAGGGCTGAAGCAAGCGCTCAGCATGGCATCCGCAGTTACTACCTGTATGGCCTATATGCCTTAAGTAAACCCTAAAGCTTTAGCCAACAGCAGCATATAGAGACTGCAGACAGCTAGTAAGGCTCTGTCCAAATGTTGCATTAATCTTATTGGGTTTTTTTTGTTCCACACAAACCTTTTAGCAAGTTTGGTTTTGCAGGCCATTTTTTTAAGTAGGCTAAGTCTCATATCAGATTCTTACTTTGACTAGGAATGTTTAATCATATTCCGGGAATGGCTGTGTTGATTTTTCTGCATGACATGACTGGTTTCTTTGTGCTTCTTGCATTAAAACAGAATACTTTGGCCATGGCAGCAGTCCATGAGTGAAAAAAAAAACCCATTCATTTATCTTGCATTGGATTTCTTTTCTCTATTAATGAAGCAGTCTTCTAGTGCAGGTATGTTTATTTTGGGTGTGGTTTCTTGTTGCTGTAATCTCAGCATCTGCCTGCAGGCTGTGGGAGTGGGAGTGGGAGGCGACGTCTGTGTGGGGTTCAGTAAGACTCACGAGGAAGAAGGGCATGCTGACCCGTTTGTAATTTGTTTCTAATGAACTCTGGAGTCGCGTGGCAGAGAGGGGCCCACAGGGACCTCAAGCACACATGGGGAAACTCTATCCCTAAGCCTCCGTTTAGCTCCGCACCCCTGAAAGGTAAACAATAATATTATTCTCCGGAGATGGTACTGAGTTGAAAAAAGGGGTGCAGATGGGGTCAGTCTACATGTATGGGAAGCCTCAGACACTCAGAGATTTTACCTGTGCGTTGTTGCATATTGAAAAAAGTATTAAATCTATGCCTGCAAGCCACTTCTTTTTCAATCTCCTCACAGACACACCCAGACTTACTCATCTAATTTAAAAACAGCCCGAAGGTGAAAGTGTGCTTATAGAGATAGGGCTTCTGCTGAGTCCTGCATCACTCACGAAAAAAGCTCTCTCTATATGACACACACTCAAACCCAGCCACTCCCAAATTAACGGAAGTTTACTGAGACATAACATATAGTTAACCTTTGAGTACACAGTCTTGTACATCAAACACAAGCTGAATCTGTCAAATAGCAGGTAAACGCAAGAAGAGGCTCAAGTTCACACATTGACTCACTAATGCTTATGGGTTATGACATCTGCGAAATCCAAGCTTTTGCACAAGTTACATCACAAAGATTTCACCTTAAACCCACCAAGGCGTACTCATTACTCACACATATAATAAAATAATAAGATTCTATGT